AAGGAAATCCAACAACACCCACTTAATACGTTTTAAAACAATCTGGGCCAATGAAGTGGTTTAGCAGGTGAAGGCACTTGTTGCTATGCCCAGTGGCCTGAGTTTGATCCCCATGGTCCACGTGATAGAACAGACTTACAGGTTATCCTTTCTCCTCCACTTACATGCCATGACACATATGTCCACATACATGCAGCACTATAAGTAAATAAATGCAAAAACCAACTTATCTAAGAAGTGTGGTTCAAAGTTCCATCCATGGTGGTTGGAGAGTTGCCTCATCAGTTAAAAGTATTGGTGGCTCCCCCAGAGGTTCAATTCCCAGCACTTACATGGTAGCTCAAAACCATCAGTAACTGCAGTTTCAGAGGATCCAATGCCCCCTCTGGCCTCTGCAGCCACCAGGTATGCATTCAAGGCACATGCAGACAAGCAGGTACGTGAATAACTTTTCAAAATTCTTGTAGTTTTTGGTATTATGTAATTACATAATTTGTTCCCTCTTTCTCCTTTTAAACCTTCCCATTTACCCCTTCCTGATCTCTTACAAATTCTTGGCCTCTTACATATTCTGATTAATTTCTTTCATTGACTGTTATTGTTGTGTGTGTGTGTGTGTGTGTGTGTGTGTGTGTGTGTAACTTCAAGGTTACTTCACTCAATATGATGTTTTCTAGTTCCATACATTTACCTAGAAAGTTTGTGATTTTTCTTTCCAACTGAATAATACTCCAAAATATGTTTCATTATCCATTCGAGGGCATTTAGTTGTTTCCATTTCCTGAGCTATTGTGAATAAAGCAGCAATGAACATGGCTGGGCAAGTATCTTCAGAGGAAGATGTCAAGTTGTTAGGCATATGCCAATAAGTAATATAGTTGTTTCATGTGGTTGGTTTATTTTCAGTCTTTTGAGAATTTTCCATGCTGGTTTCCAGAGTGGCTACATCAGTATACAATTCCACCAACAATGAATGAGCTTTCCATTTTCTCTGTATCCATTCCCAGCATTTGTTCATTGTTTTATTTATGTTTGCCATTCTCACTGGGAGAAGGTGAAATCTCAAAATTGTTTTCATTTGCATTACTCTCATTCTTAGGGGAAGTGAACATTTTTTGAGATATTTCTTAGCCATTTTTTTTCTTTTGAGAAATTTCTCATTCCAGACCCACTTTTTGAATGGGTCATTTGGGTTATTTTAGTTGATTTTTTTGTTGTTGTTGTTCTTTAGCTATGCAAAAGCTTTTTAGTTTTATGAAGTTCCATTTCAGAATTGTTGGTCTTAATTCTTGAGTAAATGGTGTTGTAATTTTGAGAAGTGAATCGAGAAAGACAACATGCAACAGTTCTTTTTTTTGATTAGGGGGGAAAGGATCATAAAAAGGGGAGAAAGGATCATAAAAAGGGGAAAGGGGGGAGACCAGCCTCCAGAGAGAGGAGCAGTGGAAAAAGAGAGAGAGAGAGAGAGAGAGAGAGAGAGAGAGAGAGAGAGAGAGAGAGAGAAGGATGGGAAGTGGGCAGGGCCCTATTAAAAGGGAACATAGTGAATATGCACAGGAGGTGCTCTTAGTGGCTGCAGCTGAGCTCATATCCTGTCAGAACCCCAAGGACAGGCCAATACAGACGCCTGAATACTGACAGATGGAGTCTTATTAGAAAGTCTTTTCCTACAGCCACATCATGTAGTGTTGTAGTGTACTGTTTCATGAATAGGTCTTTAATCTCTTTGGAGCTAGTTTGTGTGTGTGTGTGTGTGTGTGTGTGTGTGTGTGTGTGTGTGTGCGTGCGTGCGTGCATGCATGCGTGCGCAAGTTAATAGATGTGGATCTAATTTCATCCTTCTGCATGTAGACAGACATCCAGTTTCCCCAGCAACATTTGTTGAAGATGCTTCATTTTCTCCAGTGTATGTTTTAAGTATCATACATACACAAATATTAATGAAACTGGAGCAAGAATTGTACAAGCCTTTGAAATTATCCTAGCTGCTTTGTAACTGCATCCTGTATAGATGTCTTTTGTCATCAATGAAGATAGAGTGCTCTGTGTCACCCAGTAGCTAGCTGTGTGATGTAAAAGAAACTGACAGCTTCTGGAAGCTGTTTTATTCTTAAGTACAAGAGTTGGAAGAGAGTATTAAAATCATAACCAGGCCAGGTGTAGTGGTTCATGTATTTGATCCTAATACTTAGGAGGTACAGGCAGGAGAATCTCTGTGAGTTCTAAGCCAAACTAGTCCACATAGCAAACTCCAGGACAGCCAAACTACACAGAACAGTGGTTGTCAACCTTCCTAATATTTTGACCTTTTAATGTGGTTCCTCATGTTGTGGTGACTCCTAACCATAAAATTATTTCCATTGCTACTTCATAAATGTAATTTTGCTACTGTTATAAACCATAATGTAAATATCTGTTTTCCCATGGTCTTAGGTGACCCCTGTAAAAGGGTTATCAACCAAGGGGTTGCAATCCACAGGTTGAGAGCCACTGACAGAGAAACCCTGACCTGAAAAAAAGCAAACAAAACAGCCTTTAACACCAACACTTAGGAGGTAGAGGCAGGAGGATCTCTGTGAGTTCGAGGCCAGCCTGGTTTACAAAGTGAGTTCCAGGACAACCGGGGCTACACAGAGAAACCCTGTCTTGAAAACACAAACCAAACAACCCACCATAACCCTAGGGATGGTAGAGAATGGCTGCTAACTATTAAATTAGGCAGCTATGACGTAAGCTGTGGATAGGGAAAAGGTTTTAATGCCTGAATTCTGAAAGTTCTCAAGTCAGTTTTCAGTCCCTAAGGTTTATGGAAAGAATGGTAGTAGAGTTAAGGGTATGAGTCCATCTGAACTCCTAGGAACAGATTCTAGTTAACAAAAGAAAGAAAAAAGAAAAAAAAAAAAAGGAACTCTGACCATGTGGCCTTCACATTTGGCTATAGTTCTGTTTTCCATTACCACTTAAGCAGAAAAATTGTTCTAGCCTTTAACACTGAGTGAGAGTTGCTTCTCTGCTTTCACATCCCCTACCCCAGAAAATAAGACATGTCTTTTTCCCAGCCATGGAGGTGAAGCCATTTATGGAAGTAAGGACAGAAAGTATACTAGAAGAGCTGTCTTAGCATATGGATAATGCAAGCAATTTTTAAAGGTCTAGAGGCTGAAATGATTTTGTGCTTTCAGGCTGCATGGTGGAGGGGATGAACCTTGGATCCTTGGTATCATAAGGCAATCTAGGGTATCAAAAGTAAGTGGTTGTGGGTAACTAGAGACAGTGCAAAGGAGTGTCTTAAAGTGAAATGGGTGTTCTGTTTGTTACACTGCAGCTGGTTTCAGCACTAGTCTCAATAAACATCACATTGAGGTCCCTATATTATTCTTCACCCTCTTCTGCAGATTTGCCTAACAAAAGGAAGATAGCAAAGGGGCCAGATGGTAGAAACCTATAGTTAGTGAGTGAGCTTAAACATTTCTTATATATAGTGATGCTGGCCTAGGGCTAGGAACACTAGAAGCCTTGAACCCATGATTTTTCTGATCCAACACCAATTTCTGCTCCCCCACGTAAACAGAGCACAGTAGGTCCTCCATGTGAAGATTGAACTTTAGGTGTGCAGACCAACAAACCTTACCATTTGTTGTTCATATCAACCATGTTACACAGCACATTGATGACATACCACCTCTTTCTGCCCATTCATCATGCACTTGTCTCTTTGAAAGACCAACTGTTGCCCTTTCTTCAGTGTCTTTAAGTACCCCCCCAATGGACTAACAAAGAGGGACTCACCTTAGAAGTAGCCTCCCCATCTCATTCCGTAGTATTCATAACATCTTATCTCAAAGCCTGTCCCAGACCAGAAATATATGCCTGGCTTTGCATAGAGAATGGCATTTTTGTCTCCTATTGCTCTCCAGGCCGTAGCCTCTGACCTCACCTTGAAGGACCAAACACATTCCTTTAACTGGACAGACAGAGAAGGTGTAACAATGCTTTTCTGCACTTGAGCCTGTACCACCTAGCATCACATCATGCTCTCCTCCAGTAGCAACTGGTACACCATTATCCTCACAGCCAGGCCTGGGAGTGGCCACATCCCTTTGGATTCCTCTCTGGGGTTCCCTACAGTGTGAGCATCAGGTACTGCTAGGCCAGAAAGCGATTACAAGAATAAGTGATCAACTGGACTGAGCTCCTGGAGTTCAGTTGAAGAGAGGGAGGAGGGATCACATGAGCAAGTGAGGGTCAAGGTCATGAAGGGGAAATTCACAGAGACAGCTGAGCCAAGCTAGTGGGAGCTCATGGACTCTGGACTGACAGCTGGGGAACCTGCATGGGATTGAAATAGGCTCTCTAAATGTGGATGACAGCTGTGTGGCTTGATCTGTTGTGGGAGACCCTGGCAGTGGGACCAGGACTTATCCTGGGAGCATGAACTGGCTTTTTTGAGCCCATTCCCTATTCTGGAATATGTTGGTCGCCTTGATGCTGGGGTAGGGGCTTGGTCCTTCCTCAACTTGGTATGCCAGACTTTGTTGACTCCCCAAAGGAAGCCTTACCCCCTCTGAGGAGTGGATGGAAGTGAGGTGAGGAGGAGGTGAGGGCAGGAGAAGGGGAGGGAGAGGGAACTGGGGTTAACATGTAAAATGAATAAAAAATTTAAAACATGAGTGATCAAGTGGGGATCAGGATAGTTGAAGCCAGAGAGTAAAGGCAAGAGACTTGTCAGAGGAAAGTCTGGGACCACACAGGGGCAAAGTACTTAATACAGGTAATCTAATTGGGCTCGTGAGTAAGGATGGGGGATGGGTACAGGCACCTGAAGCAGACAGATCATTCTCTGTAGTTCCAGTACTCTCCAAGAGGAATGAAAAAACACAGAGATCACCAGCCATGCCTGGACAAAGCAATTTATTAGAGTGTTGCAGTGGAGGCTTCCACACAGGATTATCTGAGATAGGCTATTGGCTTCTCTTAACTTAGTTTCCTGCTGGAGCTTTCTAGCTCTGTGCCTGACTGTTCTGCTTCATAAACTCCCTGATGACTAAGTCCTCCAAGCTTGCAGAAGCAGCAGAGGGGAATGGAAGGTTAGCAAACCCCTTCCCGAGCTTTCTCCACATTCTTGATTCTAGAGAGGCATTTCCTTTCCTGCTCCTCAGCCCTCCCCTCCACAGGGCTTGTTTCCCTTTTGAATCTGTCTAGACAATGGTACAGCAGGAGTGTTAGAAAGGAGGGTCAGATAGAGGGAAGGAATTAAAACAAGACAAGGATGATGTGGATAGAATGGACCCTAAATCAACAGTTTAAAATAGAAAAGGGGCAACCAACCCAGTTTTGCCTGGGGATAAGTGTTCATAAGGACAACTTAGCAACAGAATAGGGTTTTGGAGAGAAGGAAAGAGGAAAAATGGAAGCGATGAGGGGGAAGAACAATTACAAGAAGAGCAGCAGATGATGGACAGGGAGACAGACAGGAAAATGAGGGCTGTGGAAAGCACTAGACTGTGACATGAAGCTAAATCATGCTTCCGGTTCACAGTCTTGAAAACAACATTTGGAGGATGCTTTTAAAAGTTCCATCATAAAACAGCAATAGGCAAGGGAGTGGGATGGGGCTTCCAAGCCTCACAGTGATTTACCTGGTAGCAACTGTGGCAAGCATGGAGAGGGAGAAAAAATGGAACCGAAGCTCATAAGTGGCTCTGCAGTTTTATGAAGAAATTTCTTTGTTCTCCTCTCTCCTTTGTTTATGGGTCTTCCCCTTCCCTATATGTCCCCTAAAATTAAGAAATTCTATTTGCCTATTGTCATTCCATCTGAGCCACTCTTTCCCAAGAACAGCTTGGCCCCCAGCCCCTCAGGATGATTGTTTCTAGGAGCCTCACCTGATCTCTCACTAAGAGATGGCTTTGGATGGATCAGAATCAGGGGCAGCTCCACACCAACATCACTGCAAGTATTCCAAGGTTAAGTTACTGAAGTCCTGAAAGGGCCTGATCACTGACCTTGCTTCAGTTTTAACAGTCTAGGAGGCCCTTGTTCTTCAGAGGACTCTTTTGGCCTCTTCATGCCCTCTTCCTCCCTGCCTTGCCTCAGTTCTGTCACCCTAGCGTCTCACCTGGCTGAAAGACCTCCTAGGATGCTGTGAAGAAAATTGCAAATTAGAGAGGAATCAACCCAGTTTCGATGGGGATAAAGAATCAAAGCTATTTTAGTAACAGAATAGGGCTTTAGCAAGGGAAAATGATTTGTTCGTGGAGTTCACAGGTTTGTGAACTTAGTCTCCAAGAAGTGGAGCCCCTTGAGTGGGTCAGTCTAACAACCCCTGCACAGACAACTGGAAGCCTGCACTTACCCACCCCCTCCCATAGGACACCATCAGGTTGACTCTAACTTTGTAGGACACCAGGATCCCCAGGAGCTCCTTGTCCATTCCAGGTTGAAGAATTCACATTTTAGTGTCAATTTTGGGGTATTAGGAATAGAATTGAATTTAGCTCCCTCAAATCCTTCCTGTGCTTTCTATTACCATGCCCCATTGCCTTTGTCTTTTCCCAGAAGATATCAGGCTGTAATTGCTTCTTCCTAAAATTCCATTTGACTGTTTTACTGTCTGTTCGAGGGCTTATTTTTTTTAATTGATTATTTTGCTTATTTGTTTTAGGAGCCAAAGCAATCTAGCCTCATCTACTTCTCCCTTTTCTGCCCTAACTCCTAAACACCTATGTTATAAGCAGTTTCCCACAAACCTGGTTCCAGAGTTGCATCAGCCCCAAATAACACACAAAGACACTGTATTAGATATAAAACCGTTGGACTGTTACTAGCATTTCTTATTGGCTAGCTCTGTCTTAAATATTAACCCATTTCTATTAATCTAAGTGTTTTCACGTGGTCTTATTTTACCGGAGAGAGGGTCCAGTCCTCTTCTCTCAAGTCCCTACATCTTGCCTCCTCTCTACTACATCTCCAAGCATCCTCCTTGTCTCCTAGGCCCACCTATCTTGCTTTCCTATTTGCCAACAGTGCATTATTCATTAACCAATAAGAGAAACATATTTACAGAAGGCATCTCCCAGCACACCTAGAACACACTCTAGGCAGACTGGTCTTCTTTTTGTGCTCCTTAAAATGCCATGTGGGATTACTACCTTCTAGCTTTTCCCCTTGCCATGTTCCAAGTCTGGAAAGTTCCTTTCTTCTATTTTTAGTATCCAGGTTTTACAGACATTCTTCAAGCTCTAGCTCATTCTATTTCCTTTGAGAATCTCTTGCCAGCTATGTTGGCTTTTAACTTCTATTGAACTCATAATATGAGCCATGTGTAGCTAACACTTAACTGTTGGATTACATTTGCATTCATCTATGTTCCTCATCTAGGCCTTATATTGACTGAAGGCAAATACTGTCTTACATTTCTTTGTATATTCTCATTGTATTGCATAGGAATGGACAGTTAGTAAGTGCTCAATAAAAACCTACTGGTTTCAAAAGTAAGATATCAAAAGCTGTAAGGATCTTGGGGTAGTCTTTTGGTTGCTTTGGGGTGCTGATCTCTCTGAAAACTAATGCTCCTTGAATAATTTCTAAGGCTATTTTTTACAAATAATGACAAGTTGCTTGATAAGGCATGAGGAGAATTGGGCATTTATGATTGTAGATGGTAGACAAATGGCTTTGATGAGAAACACATGCTTATCTGAAGGCATAGAACCAAATGAACAGCATCAAAGAATTCTACCAATTCCTGTCACATAATTTCATTTTGTGTCCTCATTTTCCACCATTTCTCATCTCCTAACCTTCCAGGCTATTCTATCTTCTCTAGATAGTAACTATTGTAGAGATCACGTTTAGAGCAATGGAATTTAATAGAATCCTGTCTGCCTCATAATTACTCAACCTTGAACAAGTTCCTTGTCTTTAAACCTCAGAGTTCTTTTTTTTGGGGGGGGGGTGTTTCGAGACAGGGTTTCTCTGTGTGGCTCTAGCTACCCTGGCACTCGCTCTGTAGACCAGGCTGGCCTTGAACTCACAGAGATCCACCTGCCTCTCCCTCATGAGTGCTGAGATTAAAGGTGTGTGCCACCACCAACTGGCATAAACCTCAGAGTTCTTGTGTGTAAATGGAATAACATATCTGGTTAGGGTCAAAGATGAAAGTCCTGAGTTCATCCTCAGAAACAATAAACCCAACCAACCCTCTGGCCAGTGTACATAAATAGTATTCTTAGGAAGATAATATTGATGTAAAGTATTTGTGAATTGTGTCTTTTTCTTCGTTTTTATTATTATTACATTTTTATTTATCTATCTTGTCCCCTCATATGGTTGTGGGGGTGCAGGTGCCATGGTAAACACATGGAGGTCAGAGGACAAGAACTGGTTCTTTCCTTCACTATGTGGGTCCTAGAGATTGAACTTAAGCAGTCAGCTTAACTTTTACTTGTTGAGTCATCACACCAGCCCTTGTTTGTATCATTTTGTTGTGGCAGGGTCTTGCTGTATAGCCTATGGAGGCCTCAAACTTGTGATTCTTCTACCTCCGTGATGACCACTAAGTGTGCTAGGATTACAAGCATGACCCCCCATGACTGGTTTGGACTTTAAAATCTTATATAACAAAGAACTTCTGTTCTCTGCATTTTCCTTTCTTAGCACCTAAGACCTAAGCTTACTATTGGTCCCATAAGCATTCATTTACCTTGAGGTTGGCTCTGAGGCCTGTGAGTGTGCTGAATACTGGCTGAGGGGCATTTTAAAAGACAAATAGGCTCAACTGAAGAGGATAGCTTAAGGGTAGGAAGTAGAGGTTGCAAATTACCTATGAACTTACATTGTGCTAGAGGCCAAATTGGCGGCTTCATGTTTGAATTTGCCATCTAGTGCCAGGCTCTGTTTCTGGTAGATGACAGCCAGGAGTGGGGTTACTGCAAAGGGGTGGGAGAAGCTTGAGTTAGCAGCTACACCAGTAAAAGGGGGCTATGAGAGGAGTTATAATGTAAAGAATAGGATATTGGGAGGGGGGTCAACAACCTCCCTGTCCATCAGGGCCTGGAGTTGTAGGGGCTGAGCTGACAGAAAGAAGCTTTGAATAGTCTGTGCCCAGGGACCAGGGCCTGGTTCCAGGGGTGAAAACTGCACTTTCTGTATATCCAGCTGTACAGGATCACTGAGTAGAAGCCAGAGGATAAGATAGCTCTGCAACCACAGACTATCTCTTACTACCCTTAAAGCTTTGTGTTTACTTGGGGACAAGGAAAGTCCTCTCTCACAGAATGCCTTGAACCCTAGATGTTCTGTAGACCAAGGGATTACAAATTGGCCCACTGGCTAAATCTGCCCTGTTTCTTGTTTATTTGTGGCCTGCAATCTGAGAATGATGATCAGAGTTGTAGATGGCCAAAATAAATTAAAAGGGCCATATTCTATGACATAGATATTATATAAAATTCAAATTTTAGAGTCCATGAATTCAGTTTGTTTAGAATACTGCAACATGTTTTCATATCTATAGTATCTATGACAGTTCCAGTACAACAGCAGCAGAGTTATTGCAGTTGCAACCGAGACTTGATAGCCCACAGAATGTAAATATGTGACATGTCTGCCAACCCATGTCCGAGAGTGGAGAAGAGAAATCAGAGGGACTCAGAACAGGACATCCAAGTTGGTGGCAATGGTGCTATGGTAACTAGGTCTGTTTCTGTCCTAAGAGCAGGATCTGTGGTAGAGGTTTAAGGCAAGGATTTGGAGAAGACTGAAGAATAACTCTTAGGGATTTTCTCATCCAGATTTTCTCCACAGAAACTCTTCAATTCAAAGTCAACCCCACATGGCTGCAAAGAATCAGGAACAAAAAAAATTGTATTTCCAGTTTTATCACTCTCTCCTTTGTGGGACTACATGAAAATGTCTTCATCCCTTAGCTGTCTGTTTTTTTCCAGTCTTGTCCATCTGTCTTTCTTCCTATGCCCCATTGTAACTCAGATGCCTAGGAATTAAAGGCTTGGCCCCAGCTTATATTTCTTTTATTTTTGAGACAGAGTCTCACTGTGTAGCCCTGGCTGACCTGGAACCTACTGTTGTGACCAGGTTGGCTTCAAATTCAACAGAGATCTGCCTACCTCAATCTCCCAATTGCTGGGATTAAAAATGTGTATCACCACACCTAGCTCAGCTGATGTTTCTATTGAGAGGTGGTAAAAATTTTTAAGTATTGAAACCTCTTAAGAGAGGTTGAGGAAGTTTGGTTATTGCAGGCATGAACTTCTTGGTATTCTTTTTGCTCCCTGGACACTATGAGGTGACCAGGCCTCTTCTGCCGTGTACTCCCATCGTGATGTACTATGTTGCCACAAGCCCAAATCAACTGAGTTGCCATAGACTGAACCATGATGCAAGAAAAGAAAAATCCTTCCCTCTTTTTAAGTTGGTTATGTCATTGGTGGAAAGGTGACTAGTTCATTGTCTTCCCTTCCCTTTCCTCAATCTTCAAGCACAGGCTGCATTGTCACTGAAAAGTGCAGGATAGAAACCATCTAAGAAATCAAAAGGAACTCAGCAAAATAGGGACACCTTTCCTGTTCTTTTACATTTTAATCTTCTCTGGAAACTGCCTGAGACTTGAGGTCAGTACCTAAAGTGTGAAAGGGTTTGTACAGAAGCCACTCCTGTAAAGCTGTGAGGGGTCCCTGGTTGCTGATGTGTTATGAGTAGTTTTCCCGCCAGCCTGGTCCCAGAGCCGCATCAACCCCAAATAATACACAGAGACCCCAAATAGGTGGAGACAGGTTGATCCCTGTGGCTTAGTGGCCAGCCAGCTAGCCTAAACTAGCCAATGAGCCTCAGAACAGTGAGAGATGCAGTATCAGAAAACATGGTATATGGTGCCTCTTGAAGAATGACACCCAAGGTTGACCTCTGGCCTTCACACATACCTGCACATACATGAGCAAACTAACTGTTAGAAATCAGTAAATATATATATATATATATATATATATATATATATATATATATGCCATTCTAAAAGTTTGCAAAGAACGAGGACAGATTCTTAACAGAAGTACAAGTGGAATGAATGACCAATAATTCATGTAGTCTCAGTAGTAATCAGATGCATTCAAATTAAGCCACAGTGGAAAGACATTTCATACAGATCAGATTATCAAAAATATTAAAACAAGACAACACTAAGTATTCATGATGATGTAGCCCAATTGGAGTTCAAATGAATGACTGGTGGGAGATGAATTAATATAACCACTTTGGAAAAATTCTGCTATTCAGTAGAATTGAATCTTTTATCATCTTCACTTATGAATGAGGTAAGGCCCTTGTTAGAGAAGCCTTATGCAGTATCCTGTTACAGATGGTTCTTTCCCACCAGCCTGGTCCCATAGCCACGCCAGCCCCAAATGAACATTCAGAGATTTATATTAATTATAATACTGTTGGCCAATGACTAGGGTTTTGATTGGCTAGCTGTCTTAATTATTAACCCATTTCTATCAATTTATGTATTGCCACAAGTCTGTGGCTTATCTGGTAATCCCCAGCATGGTGTTTCTCCTCCAGCAGCATCATGACTCTGTTCAGCGGGCTCACTCTGCCTACGTTTCCGAGAATCCTCCTCTTCTCCTAGACCCACCTAGCTTCCTGCTTAGCCAATCAGTGTTTTATTCATTAACCAATATGAGAAACATATACAGAATAACAACTCCCATCAGCACCCATCTTTTTTTTTCTGTTTCACCTTCTGCCACCTAAGGATACAACATTCCTCCCCTCTGGAGGGTCAAGCAACAAGGCACAATTTTAGATGCAAAGATAAGACTTTACCAGAGAATTGAACATGTTAATTAATCATTTGAATTTGGATTTGCCAGGCTACTGATTGGTGAAAAAATAAATTTCTCTTCCTTATATATCACCCTGTCTTGTGTATTTTGGTATAGCAGCATTAATGTACTAAGAAATATATTAACATGATTAAATATATTTTAAAAAGTGAGTAAAAAAACTTCTATCAGCAGAATTTAATGTGCATTGTCTTTTTTTTAATTAGGGCTTTTTGTTCTTTTTAAAATATTTATTTATTTATTTATTTATTTATTTATTTGGTATATAACATTCTGCCTGCATGTATCCCCTGCAGGCCAGAAGAGAGCACCAGATCTCATTAAGGATGGTTGTGAGCCACCATGTGGTTGCTGGGATTTGAACTCAGGACCTCTGGAAGAACAGTCAGAGCTCTTAACCTCTGAGCCATCTCTCCAGCCCTGTGCAGTGTCTTACCATTTATATAAAGCTTAAAACAAACAACATAGTAATTGATTGTCAAGACATAAATGTGAAGTGTAAGTATACAAGCATCATGGAACAAATAAACAACACTAAATCTAGGAGAATGGTTACCTGGTAGGAGAAAAGAGAAGGATAAGGGAGAGAGACCCTAAGGACACGGAAAACTTCAGGTTCTATAGTTCTTTTCAAAGCTAGGTAGTAGATATAACTTTTATGCCTGAAATATTTAATAGTTAAATTGAGTTAACAAGATTTAAGGTCAGGTGCCAGCAAGACAATTCAATAGGTGAAAGTGTGTGTTTCACAAGCTGGACAACTTCATTTCAATCCCTGGAACCCACAAAAAGCCGGAAGTGGTGGCTTGCACTGTAATTCCTGCATTCATAAAGTGAGTTGGGACAGAGGCAGGAAAATTGTCCAGAACTTCATGTGTCAGCCAGACAGAGTAGCAGAAACATGAGAGATCTCAAGATAAAAGGATAGAACTGATACTCTAAAGTTGTTCTCTGACCTCCACTCACACTCTACTCGCATCTGCATTGATACACATGTATTATATACATCTGTGTACATAGAAACACATGACAATAATAACAAAATAATAACAAAATTTCAAAAAAGATTCAGTGTCAAGATATCTTATCGCGGTTTAATAAGGATCAGGATAAACAATTAGGCCGAACAGATGTTTATTCAGGGAGAAATAACTCACAACGTAGTAGACAGGTGAACACCAGCAGGTTCCTGCTTCCAAGAATGTCTCCAGAAGTCCTCCTGTCCCCATGCGGCTTGCAAGAGAGCATTCTCCTGCCCTTCCTCAGACCTAGTAACCCAAGTCACTTCTGTCCCTGGCTCCACCCCAATGGGCGTGGTCAGTGCCACAGACGGAGACAAAGTGAATATCCCACTATAATATCTGGATTTTTTTTTTTTCAAGATAGGGCTTCTCTGTATTGCTTTGGAACCTGTCCTGGAACTAGCTCTATAGACCAGGCTGGCCTCAAACTCATAATGATCCGCCTGCCTCTGCCTCCCGAGTGCTGGAACTAAAGGCATGCACCACCAATGACCAGATGATATCTGGATTCTAACAGGGCCTATACAAATCCCTTGGCTTCCCTGGATCTGTTAATATAACTGCCATAAATAGGACTGGACCTGGAGAGATGGCTCAGTGGGTAAGAATGCTTGTTCTACAACCACGAGGACTGAGTTACAATCTCCAGAACCCACATAAAAAGCTGGGCATGGATGCATGTGCTTGTAATCCTAGCATTTGTGAGAAGAGACAATCAGATCCTAGAAGGTCACTGGCCATTCTGCCTATCCAAAATGGTGGGTTTAGTTCAATGAGAGACCCTCATCTTTAGTGAATAAGGTGGAGAGGAATAGCGGAAGACATCTAGAGGTCTCCTCTGGCCTTGGCATGTGAGTGAATAGGCATGCATACCTGTATACTCACAGACATGTACTACCACCACATTCATACAACACATACATGCCCTCAATACACAAATAGTACTGCACGGTGAGCCATAACTCTATTATGTAGACTTCACAACCTTTAAGTAAAGAAAAAATTAGGCAGTGGCTCACGATTCCTTTCCTTCTACTTATTTATTTATGTATTTATTTATTTTGACACAGGGTGTCATGTAGCCTGAGGTGGTCTTGCACTCCTGAGTATATGCCACCATGTCTGTTTCCTGCAATGCTGAGGATTGAACTCAGGACTTCATACATGCTAGACAAACACTCTTCAAGTAAGCTATATCCCCAGTCAGGTTTAGGAATTCAACTCACTCAGATCTAGACTCCAGAGCCTAGACTCATTTGTACCAAATTTCACTCAGAGGATGGTTATAAGGAGTTAATGTATAAAAAAATTCCTTTGATGTCTAATGTGGTATTTAGATATAGTCCCAGCACCTGGGAGGTGGAGGCAGGAAGATCAGGACTTAACAACTAACCTTAGCTACAAAGTGAGTTTAAGGCCAGAATGAGCTACATGAGACCCCAAACGAAGAAAAATAATTTTATTTGGAAAAATCCATAGACATGAATGATTGATGATTATGATGATAATGATGATAGAAATCTTGGCAAAAAAAAAATGGAACAGGTACAAATGAACTCATACTTTGCAACTGTTATCTAAGAAATATATTCATACTCTAGGTATACTCCAAAACTAAAGTGACAGGGATGGAATCGAGGGAAGGTGGAGAACAGAGATGGGTAGCTTTAAGTCTATCTAGGGCTTTAAGACAGAGAGCTTTAATACAGTGAAAGTAAGATGATGTTCATAAAGCAACAAAACATATAGCTGGGAGTAAATTTCAGAAATATGTATGATTTAAATGAATAATAATATAAAACTCTGCTAAAGAGACAAAAAAGGAAATTCAAAGGAGAAGAAAAACATACATCTATTTTCTAAGTAAACATGTATTTTGGGGGAAATGAGTTCTGACTATGTAGCTCCATTGGCCCGAAAGTCACTCTGCACTCCACCTGACCTGGAACTTGT